ATAATGTAGCCATGCATGAATGCATGACCACATGACCCCACAAGATGAACTCCAATGGCTTCTAAATAAGACAATGGATGAAAAGTTCACGAATATTGAGCTTTATATATGATTCGGGTTAAATACAATAATTATTAACCTAGCTTTATATAAAATGTACATACATGTTCTAATAATTGTATTTTGCTTCATACAATGCATATGTGTGTGAAAACATTACATTATTCAGCTCACTCCCCTTTGGGGCTTTTCAGTCACCTCTTACATCAAGTATTAGGGTTATTTATGTTAGTCTAGACTATTTATCTTTATAACAATGAGAATCAGAGGAGGAATGAGGGTCTTCCCACAATGCACTGCGGTTCATTATTTTCAAAATTGAAATTCGCGACCACGGATTGTGAAAAATTGTGGATGGTTATCTTGATTATTTCTCTGAAAATTTTCTATTTTCAAAGCTTAGATTTCAGTAAATATATTAATTGTATATCGAATTTTTTTTTTTTATTTTTAAAAATTTCTATATTGCGTTTTAGTGATGCTAATCGCGTATTGTATTAACCCTTTTTACGGGTCAGAGTACAAATCACGAAAGTGGCTTTGATATTATGCAGAAGCTATATCACTTTTTTTCGTGAAAAGTCAAAATAAATCACAGCATCGAATTCAGGAAGAGTTGTTCTATCTTATGATACTTTAAAACCAAAAGTAGCTCGCCAAACTGACGGAGTAATCGCGATTTGAAAGTGAGGTAATTTTTACTGTGTTCTGAAATATTGTTGATTTTCATTTCGTCTTTTCTCTCTGAAAAATTTATTTTTTCGAAGGTAACTTTTTATAAATGTATTAATCGTGTATCGAATTTAATTATTCTTATTTTTAAAATATTTTTGTATCGTGTTTTAGTCACGTCAATGGCCGATTGTATTTGGCCTTTTTTTTAATCAGAGCTTAAATCACGAAAGTGACTTTGATATTATGCCGGAGCTATATCAATTTTTTTTGTGAGAAGTCAAAATAAATCACAGTATCGAATTCAGGAAGAGTTGTTCTATCTTTTGATGCTTTAAAACCAGAAATAGCTCGCCAATCCGACGGGCAACCGCGATTTCAAAATGGGGCAATTTACTATACTCAGTTGTGGGTGGCGGGAATTCAAAACTGATATGGCGCGACTATTTCATTATTTATAAATATATACTTTGAATTCATACATTCATGATAGACTTTGTTGCGATAAACTGTGAGTCATGAAAGCCCCCCAAAAATGTATGTTGTGTAGTCTTCGAATTCAAGTGTTTGGCAGGAAAATGTTAGACTTTTTCTTGCTCTATTTAATTTTGGACAAGTGCATATTGAAACATACATGCAGATTTAATTACATTGCAGTAAAAGAACCATTTTCCTTTCAATCTCCCTAAATATGTTTTCCTTGCATATGATCAGAAGCATATCAGTGACCTTTATTGAAACCTTTTAACATTTTATATTGTATTTTTGAAGTAGCTAAATACAGTAAATAATTTCTAACACAACTCTATGACCATTTATTTGAAAGATTAGAATAAAAAAATGCAAAAATTGTTTTACTTACACTTCAACATAGCATGCTTCTTGAGCACAATTTTATTTAATAATACAGACACAACAAGTTCTGCTGTAAATGTATTTATAAATATTTGTAAAGATGAACAGAATAACAACTGCAGTAAATGAAGATGGATGTTGTGGATGTAAATATACTACCTGACAAGTATACTGAGGTTTCTAGCAAATGGTCCTTCATTTAGATCTACCGACTACAAAGGAACTAACCTCCAGACAGAGGGCCTCTGCTTGAAATATCATGATTTGATCATTCTATATATTTTCAGGTAGTTACATCCAAAAATACATCTTACTTACTATTGAACACAGCTAACATCGTACTATAATTGAGATTGGTTATTTCAATTATTTCATAAAATTACAACACATTTCAAAAAAATCATCTGTTTTATATTGCACAACCTGTGCACAGTCAGATATGCATGCAATTTATTGTCTTCTTTATCAAGCACGATTATAACAGTTCCACTAATTGATGGGGGGGGGGGAGGGGCGACCAGTGATGCATATTGAATATTCAATGCTGATCATGAACAACCTCCACCAAGCAAACGGGATACAATGGTTGTTGGAAGCAATGACAATCAGTAGGCTGGTGTAAACTTAGTGTCACATGCATAGGCGTACCGGGCGGGGGGGCGGGGGGGGGCGGCAGCCCCCCAGTTTTTTGGGCAGTCGGGCAATATTCGATCAACAGTCGGGCAATTTCGGTTTGCAAAAAAAAAAATGGGACAAATTCTGTTAATTTTGTGTAAAATTAAGTAAATTTTTTGGCAAATTTTGTGATTTTTTGAAAATTTGTGTAATGTTCCGAAAAATATTGGTTGTCCGGAAATTTTTTTTGACCCCCAAAATGGCACACTGACCGAAATTTTTTTGGTCCATGGTCACATGATAGGTGGTACGTGGCATTAAAATAGACTCCTCCTGACCAACATATTACAACATGGTACATCTCCAAGCTGATGCCAGTGATCATTGGTGTCGACAAACTATATGATATAAATTTGAAATATTTAATTTAAACAAATAATGACTACAATAATGACTACAATAATGACTACTAAAATACTACAGTTGCCATTGAATAACAACAGTTAATCAAGAGTTTATAAAATTTTGAGTAAAATCTATTTGCAATTAGATTTTTTTAATGTTTCTTAATGTCAAAAACTGAATTTATTATAAATTTGGTACAACATTTGCAATAATTTTGTATGTAATTTACTGAAACACTCTATTTGAGTCATTTTATAAATAAATATATTGTTAAACTTAAATTATTTTGATCTTTTTATTCTAAATTTGTGTGCATAGCTCTACTGTACGATACATATATATAAGTATAAATCAATATTGATCTTTATTACCCTTTTGATTACTATATAAACTGCAGAAATATTATAATTTAATTATTTAAATCATCTTACCTTAAACCTTTGTTAATAACAACACAAGTTTAGTCACTGTCAAGAAATCATTTCGACAAGTAAAGCACAAGGCATTCAAACTACACGTATCCGCGATGATCCCAAAACGTTGTTTCGAAAAACAACGAACAACATTTATACAACAAAAAGTCGTTTCCATCCCAAACCAAAGGTATATTCCGTGATACAGACGGTTTCTCTTTCATAAATTGTTGTTGTGTATACAGCGACAGCTACCCGAAGAATGAACGGGGCGTGGCGAGAAATCGATAATATATAAAAAGCCGTGACTGGCCGCATTGCATGCCGGTATAGTCCTCACTCCTCCTCTGAATGAGAATATGATATTACTTTTCTAACTGTGTTTATTCTAATTCTAACCCACCCTGCCATATTTTGCCTTGTGGGAGGAAACCGGAGCAAAATATAAAATTCAATTACCTTGAAAATACAGGTCTAAATTGCAATCCCTAAAACTTAGAATTTTCCTTTAAATCGCCTTAAATCGCCTAAAATCGCATTAAATCGCAGTGCTTGAAAGTCCCAGTTTTTTCTTAAATCGCCTAAAATCGCCAAAAATCGCATTATATCGCAGCGATTTAAGGCGATTTACCGCCCCAGAGTAGGCCTGTTTGACAGCCGAATTATTTGGCTGGTCAGCAGCTTCCGCCATAACAATAACAAAATGGAGTAAAAACAACAGAGAAATTGACTAGCATAGGCTGCTGATGAAGACTAATCAAGATTTATTTACAAGACTGTGTCTACAATAATCATTAAGATATCGAAAGGGATTAACACTAAAGAATACTGGCAGCTGACGAGAGTCAAATAGTAAGTCTACTGACAATCGGGGTCATTCAATGACAAGGCTGTCGTTCGAGGCATACCTTTGTATTAGTTAATTTAATATTGGAGTACTTTTCTCTTGACATTTAAATTATAAAACTAATAAATCTTCAAAGTGAAACGATGTTCGATAATTTGTTGACTAACGGACATCTTTACCTGTTGCAAATTTATAACTTGTTTTGTTTATATTCAGCTAGAAAATTTTTATTATTTATACAATACGGTCCATACATAACTGGAAATGCCTGTGTCAGTGCATTTCCCTAAAAGACTTTACACAACAGCAAAGGTCAAACGAATGTTATCACTGTTCTAGGTCAAAATAATAAGTAAAATCTCGGTCTTTGAAAGCAGAGTTTACAGTAAACGGTGAACATTCTTATTTGATCTAAACTACCGAAAGTCGAAAATGTTGATTATTTGTTGGCCTGTAGTACCCCCAGAATTTACAGGCCGCAATATTTAATTTTACATTATGTAAGACCAACCTTTAATCTCACCACACAAATAATATTACATTCATGGCAAGTCTAACTTTTGAATTTTAGGGGTTTTATTTCAACAATTTTTAAGGAACTTGGAAATCTCTATTTTAGTCTGTCATGAATGATGTCATTTCTATATTTAGAAAACATATTTGAAAAACTTGTAGATATATTTTTACTTAAGACATATAAAGCTACTATTGTGTGGAAGTATTTAGTTTTATCATTATTTTTGTTTGATGTAGAGAGCTTTAAAAATCAGTAAAAATCCACTATTGAGAAACAGCAAAAATCATAATTTTAGCCCTCAACTTGACCCCCCTGGAACTTTGCCAAAATGCAGTTAGACTGAAAACAAAATGCATTTTGAAGCAACCCTTATAAAGGCAATCTCAAGTACCAAGTTTGAGAGAAATCTATTTCTTCGAGAAATCTAAATCCAAAGAGGTCATGAGGTTCTTACAGAGACTGCCTCTTAAGCAACATTTTGAAACGGGGAAGAAGAATGCTACATATCGTTCAAAGACGATACAGAATAAGCTAGTGAAAATCTGTGGGACCCAAATCCGAGACAAAATCGTCTCAGAAATCAACAACAGTAATTGTCCTGTCTATTCGGTTCTAGCAGATGAGGCAACCGATTGTAGTAGTATTGAACAAATGCCAATTGTCTTGCGTTATGTAGATTCTAGCAAAGAAATTAACGAACGGTTTGTTAAATTTGTACAATGCGAAGGGGTGACGGGCGAGGCGTTAGCGACCAACATAGAAGACACATTGCAAGAACTCGGCCTACCACTTGAAAATTGCCGTGGCCAAGGTTATGATGGTGCTAGTGCAATGTCCAGTCAATCGAAAGGAGTTTCTGGTCGGATTTTAAAGAGGAATCCAAAAGCATTGTATGTCCATTGCTCCAGTCATCGCTTGAATCTTGTTGTTGCCAAAGCATGTCAGCTTCCCTCAGTAGTCCAAATGCTAGGATGTGCACAGAAGATTACAAGTTTTTTCAGTCCCTCTCCTGAAAGAATGCAGTGTTTGAAGAAGAAATTCGAAGAGATCGGTTTGAAGCGCCAAAAGCTGAAAGCTCCTTCTACGACACGCTGGGTCCAACGGGTGTCTTCCCTTGATGGCATTGTGGAGTCGTTTGAAGCCATTTTCGAAAGTTTAAAGTACATGAAATTGAATGAAAATGGCGATTTCAATAGCTCAACTAGTGATGCTAGGATGTATTACGAATCAATAAAATCTTTTGAATTTATCGCATCTCTTGTCATTACATCAAATGTCCTACATCACACTTTATCCTTGACGCTTGAACTACAACGAAGAAAGATCGACATTGTCCAGTCCCTCAAGCAGATTAATCTTTTAAAGGCACGTATGAAAAACTTGCGCGATTCAGTTGATGAAATTCATGAAAAATACTACAATGAAGTCCTAGAGTTGGCAAGTAGCGTGAAAGTAAAAGAGAAGGTTCCTCGGATATGCACGGTTCAAACCACTCGTGAAAACTATCCTGTTGCCACTGGCCGCGATTACTATCGAGTGAAATTAACCATCCCACTTCTTGATCATCTCATTGAACAGATTGAATTTCGATTTCCATCGGAAATGAGTAACCTATACAATGGCTTCTACATTATTCCTGGTATCTTCCTCATGTGTAAAGACGTTGACTGGAAAACGGAATTCATGAAGTTCGTTTCTGCCTACAAAGATGATATGCCCAACTATCGGAGCATGCATGCTGAATTAGGGTTGTGGGAAACCAACTGGAAACAGGGCTTCGAACAAGTCATATATGATTCAGTTGCTGATACCCTGAGGAATTGTAACGAACTTCCGTTTCCAAATATTTTTACCGCTCTAAAGATTCTCGCTGTCGTACCGGTTACTACATGTGAATGCGAACGATCTGTTTCAGCTCTTCGCCGAATGAAAACTTGGCTACGAAGCACGATGGTTAATGAGGGATTGAATGGGCTTGCTCAGATGCATATCAACGATGATATAACCGTTAATGTTGAAGAAGTCATAAACACTTTCGCCAGGCAGAACCCTACAAGAATGCAATTTCTTGACATCCTTGAGGACAACTAAGATAGTAGTAGCCAAACCAGCACTTCCAAAAAGTAGTCTTACTGCATGTTGGAATAATATATTCAGCTGTGTTTTGAACAATACTATTCGATGATCCTGTCACCCTGCTGTCTTTGAAATATACTTTACTATGAACATTGTTATTCGATGATCCTGTTATCATGTTGCCTTTGAACGATAGTTTACTTTGAACATTGTTATTCGATGATCCTGTCATCGTTTTGCCTTTGAAAGATACTTTACTTTGAACATTGTTGTTCGACGATCCTGTCATCGTTTTGCCTTTGAAAGATACTTTACTTTGAACATTGTTATTCGATGATCCTGTCATCGTGTTGCCTTTTTAAAGATACTTTACTATGAACATTGTTATTCGATGATCCTGTCATCGTTTTGCCTTTGAAAGATACTTTACTTTTGAACATTGTTATTCGATGATCCTGTCATCGTGTTGCCTTTTTAAAGATACTTTACTATGAACATTGTTATTCGATGATCCTGTCATCGTGTTGCCTTTGAAAGATACTTTACTATGAACATTGTTATTCGATGATCCTGTCATCGTGTTGCCTTTTTAAAGATACTTTACTATGAACATTGTTATTCGATGATCCTGTCATCGTGTTGCCTTTTTAAAGATACTTTACTATGAACATTGTTATTCGATAAACCCGTCACCCTGCTGCCTTTTTAAAGATATTTTACTTTGAACATTGTTATTCGATGATCCTGTCATCGTTTTGCCTTTGAAAGATACTTTACTTTGAACATTGTTATTCGATGATCCTGTCATCGTTTTGCCTTTGAAAGATACTTTATTATGAACATTGTTATTTGATGAACCCGTCACCCGGCCTGCTGCCTTTTTAAAGATATGTTATTTTGAACATTGTTATTCGATGATCTTGTCATCGTGTTGCCTTTTTAAAGATACTTTACTATGAACATTGTTAGTCGATGATCCTGTCATCGTTTTGCCTTTGAAAGATACTTTACTTTGAACATTGTTATTCGATGATCCTGTCATCGTGTTGCCTTTTTAAAGATACTTTATTATGAACATTGTTATTCGATGATCCTGTCATCGTTTTGCCTTTGAACGATAGTTTACTTTGAACATTGTTATTCGATGATCCTGTCATCGTTTTGCCTTTGAAAGATACTTTACTTTGAACATTGTTATTCGATGATCCTGTCATCGTGTTGCCTTTTTAAAGATACTTTACTATGAACATTGTTATACGATGATCCTGTCATCGTTTTGCCTTTGAAAGATACTTTACTTTGAACATTGTTATTCGATGATCCTGTCATCGTGTTGCCTTTTTAAAGATACTTTACTATGAACGTTGTTATTCGATAAACCCGTCACCCTGCTGCCTTTTTAAAGATATTTTACTTTGAACATTGTTATTCGATGATCCTGTCATCGTTTTGCCTTTGAAAGATACTTTACTTTGAACATTGTTATTCGACGATCCTGTCATCGTTTTGCCTTTGAAAGATACTTTACTTTGAACATTGTTATTCGATGATCCTGTCATCGTGTTGCCTGTTTAAAGATACTTTACTATGAACATTGTTATTCGATAAACCCGTCACCCTGCTGCCTTTTTAAGATATTTTACTTTGAACATTGTTATTCGATGATCCTGTCATCGTTTTGCCTTTGAAAGATACTTTACTTTGAACATTGTTATTCGATGATCCTGTCATCGTTTTGCCTTTGAAAGATACTTTATTATGAACATTGTTATTTGATGAACCCGTCACCCTGCTGCCTTTTTAAAGATATGTTACTTTGAACATTGTTATTCGATGATCTTGTCATCGTTTTGCCTTTGAAAGATACTTTACTATGAACATTGTTATTCGATGATCCTGTCGTCGTGTTGCCTTCGAAAGATACTTTACTTTGAACATTGTTATTCGATAATCCTGACATCATGTTGCCTTTTGGAATATGATCTCGTCATCTCTGCTGCTGTTGGAATATACATAACATTGAACATTTAACTTGATGATCTCATCATCTCTGCCCGCTGTTGGAATATACTTAACTTTGACCATTTAATTTGATTATCTCGTCATCTGTGCTGCAGTTGGAATAGACTTAACTTCGAACATTTAACTTCATCATCCTGGTGGTGTGAACTGTGAACTGTGAAGTATTCTTATTCATTTGCGTGGGAGAGGCGGCGCATGACCACTTTTTGACTGTGTTTTCCACCGTAAAAATGTGATCATGCGATGCCTCTACTTTACATTATTCTTGATTGGTTAGTGGAGTAATGGAGAGGATGGTGCGTTGTAAGTATATGTTGTAAATTTCTCTGTGAACTTCCTACTGTATGTTCATCGCTAATAAAAGCTACGGTGAGTCTTTTGTTTTGGTATATAGCTCATGTAAAGTAATTTAACTTCATTTTATAAAAGTGAGATAGTTATGATTTTTTTTTCACAATTTCGTCCAAATTTTCAACGTATTTTGCTGAAAATTTGGCAATTTCTGTTACGATTTCGAAGTCGAAATTTATATAAAAAGTTCGCTCAGAACGCAGGAAATCGCATTTCCGAGGTTCTAGATTTCAAAATATTCCGGGGGGGGGGAAGCCCCCGGACCCCCCTACAATTGCTGAGGTATTATGCATCACTCACTGAAAACCGTGGATCCACCCCTGCTCTGAGGACAAGGTTCCTCACACTGACGAAAAGGTTCCTCACTCTGAGAACAAGTTTCGTTACTCTGAGGACAAGGTTCGTCACTCTGAGGACAAGGTTCCCCAATCTGAGGACAAGGTTCCTCACTCTGAGGACAAGGTTCCTCACTCTGATTACAAGGTTTCTCACTCAGAGGACAAGGTTCGTCACTACGAGGACAAGGTTCCTCATTCTGAGGACAAGGTTCCTCACTCTGAGGACAAGGTTCCTCACTCTGAGGACAAGGTTCCTCACTCTGAGGACAAGGTTCCTCACTCTGAAGGCTGGTTCCTCACTCTGAGGAAAAGGTTTCTCTTTCTGACGACAAGGTTCCTCACTCTGAGTACAAGGTTCCTCACCCTGCGGACAAGGTTCCCCACTCTGAGGGCAAGGTTCCTCACTCTGACGACAAGGTTCCTCTTTCTCTGAGGACAAGGTCCTCACTCCGTGGACAAGGTTCCTCACTCTGAAAGCAGGTTCTTCACTCTGAGGACAAGGTTCGTCACACTGAGGAGAAGGTTTCTTACTCCGAGGAAAAGGTTCCTCACTCTGAGGACAAGGTTCCTCACTCTGAGATCAAGGTTCCTCACTCTGAGGACAAGGTTCCTCAACTTGAGGACAAAGTTACACACTCTGAGGACAAGGTTCGTCACTCTGAGGACAAAGTTCCTCACTCGGAGGACAAGGTAGCTCGCTCTGAAGGCAGGTTCCTCACTCTAAGGAGAAGGTTCCTCACTCTGAGGACAAGGTTTCTTACTCTGAGGACAAGGTTCCTCACTTTGAATACATGGTTCCTCACTCTCAGGACAAGGTTCGACACTCTCAGGACATAGGCACCTCACTCTCACGACAAGGTTCCTCATCCGGAAGACAAGGTTCCAACGTGTAAAGGCAAGTTCCTCACACTAAGGACAAGGTTCCTGATTCTGAGGACAAGGTTCATCAATCTGAAGGCATGTACCACACTCTACGGACAAGGTTCCCCACTCTGAGGAGCAAGTTTCCACACTCTAAGGACAAGGTTCCTTACTCTGACGACAAGGTTCCTCATTCTGAGGACAAGGTTCCTCACTCTGAGGACAAGGTTCCTTACTCTGAAGACAAGATTCCTCACTCTGAGGACAAGCTTCCTTACTCTGAAGACAAGGGTCCTCAAACTGAGGACAAGGTTCCTCACTCTGAAGACAAGGTTCTTCACACTGAGCACAAGGTTCCTCACACTGAGGACAAGGTTCCTCACTCTGAGAACAAGATTCGTCTGTCTGAGGACAAGGTTCCTCACTCTGAGCACAAGGTGCTTCACACTGAGGACAAGGTTCCTCACTCTTAGGACACTGAGGAACCTTCTCCTCAGAGTGAGAACCTTGTCCTCAGAGTGAGGAAGCTTGTCGTCAGAATGAGGAACCTTCTCCTCAGAGTGAGGAACCTGCCTTCAGAGTGAGAAACCTTGTCCTCAGAGTGCGGAACCTAGTCATCAGAGTGAGGAATCTTTTCATCAGAGTGAGCAACCTTGTCCTCAGAGTGAGGAATCTTGCCTCAGAGTGTGGAACCTTGTTCTCAGAGTGAGGAACTTTGTCCTCATCGTGAGGAACCTTGTCCTCAGAGAGAGGAACCTGCCTTCAGAGTGAGGAACCTTGTCCTCAGATTGAGGAATCTTGTCTCCAGACAGAGGAACCTTGTCCTAAAGGTGAGAAACCTTGTCCTCAGAGAGAGCAACCTTGTCCTCAGACTGAGCAACCTTGTCCTCAGCGTGAGCAACCTTGTCCTCAGAGTGACGAACCTTGTTCTCAGAGTGAGGAGCCTTGTCCTCAGAGTGAGGAGCCTTGTCCTCAGTGTGAAGAACGTTTTCCTCAGAGTGAGGAACCTTGTCCTCAGAGTCAGGAGACTTGTTCTCAGAGTGAGGAACCTTGTCGTCAGTGTGAGGAACCTTGTCCTCAGTGTGAGGAACCTTGTCCTCAATGTCAGGAACTTGTCCTCAGTGTGAGGAACCTTCTCCTCAGAATCAGGAGCCTTGTCCTCAGTGTTAGGAACCTGCCTTTACACTGAGGAACCCTGTCTTCCGAGTGAGGAACCTTGTCCTGAGAGTGAGGAGCCTATGTCCTGAGAGTGTCGAACCTTGTCCTCAGAGTGAGGAATCATGTCCTCAGAGTGAGGAACCTTGTCCTCAGAGTAAGAAACCTTGTCGTAAGAGTGAGGAACCTTGTCCTCAGAGTGAGGAAGCTTGTCCTCAGAGTGAGGATCCTTGTCCTCAGATTAAAAACCTTGTCCTCGATGTGAGGAACCTGTCTTCAGAGTGAGCATCGTTGTCCTCAGTGTGAGGAACCTGCTTTCAGAATGAGGAAACTTGTCCT